TTGGGTAAGGTCTGGGTCCCTTGGGTGCTTCTGTGACCTGGGAGGTGCAGAGTGCAGCTGGGTGCCTGAGCTCACTGGCTGCTGCTGTGGGGGTGCAAAGCCTCTGTGCTGGGCTTGGCTGCTGCCTCAGCCTCGCAGAGCATTGCGGGACCTGGCAGAGGGTTGTGCCAAACGCTGCTCGCCCATGCCCCGTCTACCCTGGCCTCTCACACCAAGCACTCAAGAATGAAAATTAATAAAAAAATAGAAAGGCCAAGCAAGACTGCGCGTCCTGCCCGCCCTCATTTGGCACCTTGAGCAGGAGTCCCCTGTTGGGCCAGCGTTTCCTCTCCATTCCCTGCTCCTTCTGTAGAAACCGCCTGCTTGCTGCTCACTGGAAGCTCGAGAAAGGGGCAGGGAGCAGGCTTGCCATGCCGGTGGCCTGCCGGCAGTACCCTCCATGTGCTCGGGAGGGGGAGGTCTGCTTGCACAGCATTCAGAGACTGAACGCTAAGTAGTGCCTGGTGTAGAAGCTGAGCCAGTGCAGCGTGAGTACCACTTTGCGGTACTTAGGAGGCAGGGTGGCGCCAGTGTTCTCCTGTGGTGCAGAACGTGTACAGCCCCACATCTTTACATCACAGTGCAGGACACCTCTTCTGTTAGCATCCTCCCAACTTGCTTGTGAATCTTCACTGGTTCCAGAATGAGGTTGAAAATTTAAAATTTAGTCATAGTAGATGCTGTGTTAATAGTTTTTCATCAGGGATGTTTCACAGGCGTGCACTCATCAAAGGAAGCTAAGCTGGAATTTCCTCTAAGGATGGCGAGACCCTCAATGTGTTTCAGATCTGGTGTAGCCCATCCTGGGTCCTGGAGGCCAAAGGTCGAGCTTCTATGGAAAGGTCTAACGTGGCAGGGCTGATAAACACCAGCCTTGCTCTGAAGTGTCCTGGGCGGTGCAGGCTGGGGTGAAGGTTGCTCTTGTCAGGACCTTTTTTAAAAAATGTATTCTGTGCCCTGAAGGTATTACAGGTTGATGTGGAGCCAATATGAGTTTGTTATCATATCAACGGCTTTATCTAAATCGAGTCCTGTCCCGGGCAGTCCACCATGCAGCTGAATTACCCAGTGCCCTTATACCTAATTTAATGTGTTGGGATTCCTTCTGCTTCTGTCCACCTCTGAGGCCCAGTGTCAGACAGCACCAGGCAGTGGGGCTGGGGCTCTGCCTGAGAGGCTCTGAGGAGGGGAGGTGTCCACCCACACCAAGGAGACCTCAAGTGGGTGAGGTTCCTTTGTTCTCAGGAGGAGGAAAGGAAATGCAGTTGGGGAGCGAGGAGAAGAGAACTTGCAGGCCAGGGCTCGCACTGTGCTGAAGCCCAAGGGGAGGAAAGCAAGTGTCCCGTCAGGCCACAGCAGGCACACCCGTTGCTGAGGGTGCTCTGCCCTGGCTCAGAGCCGAGGGCTGGCGGGTGGACCCTGTGCCAGCCTTGCCTTGCTTCCCACCTGGCTGGGAGTGAGGCTGGGGAGGCTGCTGCGGCCGCAGGTGGGTAGGGACCTGGAGGTGGGGAGCTGCTCCCCTGGGCACTGTCTGTGGCTGGCAGTTTGACCCTCCTGGATCCTAGGTCGCAGAGTGACGATGACGGTCCCTGTTACACAGGCGAGGAGACAGGCCGGGATGGGTACTGCCCGGCCAAAGGGCACACAGCCAGGGAGATTGGGGTGCAGTCTCGGTGGGCAGGGCCGGCATCATGCCTGGGCCCGGTGGGTAGGCGAAGGCCCTGCCTGAACGTGTCCCTCAGGAATGAGGTGTGCTGAGTGGACGTGAGGCCAGGAGCCAGCGCAGCTGGGCTGCGTCTAGGGCTGTGTGGGGCCAGAGCGCCCCGGTGTCGGCACCCAGCTCTCGGGCAGGAAGGCTGCTCAGTGTCCTGCCCTCGCCTCACTGCTGATGCTCGGGCCAGGTAAGCCTCCTGTCAGGGAGGTCAGCAGAAGTATTTCAGAAGGCTTTTGTTTCATTTTTTTGGATTTGGTAACATCTGGAAGATGTTTCAGCCAGAGCATTTAGAGCGACACATAAAATATTTTTAAAATAATGCTTATTATTATTAATTAATTAATTAATTAATTTTGTGGTACTGGAGATTGAACCCAGGACCTTGCGCTTGCCAGGCAGGTGCTTATGCCGCTGAGCTGTATCCCCAGCCCCTGCATATTACTTTTGTCTCAACTAGCTGAAGCCCCTGTGTGACACTGGGAGTGTCAGAGTGGAGTCAGTTTATGTAAAAGTTAGCACCAGGAGTGAGTGAGCTTCGCGCCCTGAACACTGACTTAATTTCCGCAAGTGCGGCCAGCCGCTCTCAGATGCCCTTGGCCTGTGTTCTGCGGGGACGGACAGGGAGTCACACAGTCTGGCTCTCGATTTACCGCCTGCTTGTTTACCGGGCTGTGCACATGGGCCTGGGCTCCATAATATTTTTGCTTTCTCTGCTAATGTGCTGAGAACCTTTGTGGACAGAGGGTGCTCCCCTGCCTGGAGACCCCCAAGCCAAGGGCCTAGGCCACACCCCGGGCTCCTGAAGGCTCTCTGGGCACCGCTGGCTGCTAGGGGGTGGAGGCAGGAGCAGCATTGCACAGGGACAGCCCCACCTGGAGGGAGCTGACTGGGCCAGGGCAGGAGAGAAGCCACTTCCTGACCAAAAAAGTCCTAGAAAGCACAGAAACAAAATTATTCCATCCAGCTGCCAATTTCAGAATACCTACTTTCCAGAGGAGCTCAGTGATAACCAGAACAGCTTTCCACAGTTCTTGATCAGGAATAGGGGTCAGTTACACTCTCCATGTGAATCAACCCAATGGAGGCCACGGCAGCTGAGGTGTCCTTGAGCGTTCCGGACCTGGACCTCCGAGTAGAAATGTAACAGTTGGCGTAACATTTCTCTCCATCCTATAAACTCTTCCCCCACATTTTCATTTTCTCGTGTTAATATGAGTTTTGATACAATTTATTTCCTTCCTAAACAGTTACCTGAAGGCTCTGGCCCCCAGAAAACTTCAGCTTTGTAGCAGGCTTGGATTTTTAGATGAGAGCTGCTTAGCTGGTATAGTCTAACAGATATTCCAGCATCTTCAGATGCTTCTTCCCGTTGAGCCATCCTGAGATGGTAACAGGACTCAGGTGCCTGGGCCGAGCCCATCCTGCTCACGCCGCGTCGCAGCGAGTGGCCTGTAGTGAGTGCTCAAGGGAGATCAGCCCTCTGCACGTGGGCGGACTGTGGCTGCTCACGCGTGCAGGCTAGCTCTGGTCGTCTCCAGAAGTGCGGGAAGCGGTCATGCTGCAGAGAGAGCAAGTGTAGCATGGAGCGTGAGGGCTCGGCATTCGGAGGCACTCGCCGTCTGTGCTGCAGTTCAGTATGTGGCTGGGGCAAGTCCAGAGGTTGAGTGTGGCGGCCGTGCTTGGACACCTTAACCTTTCCCAGAGAAGAGCCCTGAGCTCAGTGCCAGCCGGGGCAACACAGGGGACCCCATCAGAAAGCACCCCAAATATTTTGAAATGTCACAGTGTGTGGAAAGGAAATATGTGTGTAACACCGTGTTCAGAAAGACAGCGGATGTCACAGGGGAAGCACCCCAAGTGCAGAATTTTGTCATTTTGTAGAAAGTGATAGTGATGATGATCTCGGGCTTAAAAAAAAAAAAAAAAAAAAGAGCCCTTATGTCTGTTTCTGACAGAGAAATTCTTTTGATGTTACTGCTTGCTTCACTGAAAATCTATCCTCTATTAGTCTTGATGGAAAATAAGAGCGTGGGAGACTGCTTTGTGAGGTAAAGCTGCTGATACATGAAGGTAGAACTAGTACAATGGAAAATTCCATTTTTAATGTCCTGGGACTAAAGTTCTACCTCCTGTTTTAGCATAGTAGCTGCTGGTGGTTCAAAATCCAAAGCACTGGGCCGACGGGGTGGCTCAGTAGAATAAGTGCTTCCCTGGCAAGCACACAGGCCTGAGTTCAATCCCGGTTCTGAAAAAAAAGTCTGTGGAAGAAAGGAGAAAAGAACAGGGTTGAATAATCAAGACCCTCAAGTCTGTCTGCCCATCTCTCCATCCACCTACCTATCTGAAGGAGCAAAGGTCTATAATTTTTATTATCATTTTCTTACTGTAACCACTTTGATATTTCTTTATTACTAGTAATAAAAATTAATTATATTTCTGTAACAAATAATACGTTTTTCTCTTTTCATAAAATGTATATATTTGGTATTATTTAGTGACAAGATGTTGTCACTTAGCATTGTTATACACTTGGGTACAGGTCCACATTTAACGTGGCATTATTGGTGGACGTGGACTCATACCTGACAGGACACGAGGTCAGAAGTTTCCCAGCACATACAGTACCATGCAGATACAGCCACATAACGAATCGTGAATCACTTGCTGGGGAATTTTACTTAGTTTATACGTGCTCTCAGCGCTCTCTGCGGTGCCAGCCCCCTTTTGGACCTGCTAGGAGGCAGAATCGGAGGCTCTGCCCCTACCCGTGACAGATGAGAGCGGAAGGGTGAGTGGTGGTGACACACCCCTCCCAACCCAGGAGCCTCGGGGTCCTGTCTGTCCTTGGAGACCCCAAGCCTTTCCACGGTGTGGCAGCCTCAGCCGCAGGGCAGCTGGCCTCAGGCCCCACCAGAGCCAGTGGACTGTGTCGAGAGCTGGACACTAGGGGACAGCACTCAGGTATTCCATGCTCGAATCGGTCACTCGCATTCTGTATGAAGAGAGAGACGTGACTGCGAACGACTGTGGAAGGTCTGCTATTTTCCGTGCATGAGAAAGCATGCGGGAGGATGAGCTCTTCACGTCAGCTTTAAGGAGAGGGGGTTTGAATAATTTAGAGAAAGGACTGGTGCGCTGTTTTTGGGGTTGCACGAAGATTGCCAGGCGTGGTAGCGCAGGGCTGTCCAGCCGTCATTCCACTAGCATCAGTACGTTCTTATGTCTCACCTCCTGTCTTGTTCTCCAGGCACTTTGGAAAGACACGAGACAGGAGAAAGAGCAAGAGTTATTCTTAACTGCTGTGATGGCTCGCGGCTTCTGAAGCCCGAGCCCGTGCTGGCGGCTGCCTTGGAGACACGGGAGCACGGAAGTGAGGGACGGGGACCCTCGGGCTGCCCCTCGCCTGGGCCAGGCGCTTGCCCCGCACTGCGGGTGGAGGCCCCGTGGCAGGTAAGACCGCACCAAGCGCTGCACAGCAGTGTGAGTAGTGGCACCCCAGCGCGGGCGCCCGAGTCCCCACAGCAGTGGGGACGCGCCCACGTGGCTTTCGGAGCAGACAGTGTTCCAGTTGGGGTGTTGTCTCTAACACAGGGAGGTTCTGGCTTATCAGAACTTGGGTCATTGTTGCACTAACTCAAATTCTGGGTGGTTTTCTAAGGAAGGTGGAAATTATACTCTGTAGTTTGGATCTGTTTTTATTTTTCATTTGAGAGTGACCCCTTTCTAAAATGTGTATTGCAAATGAACAGAAAGTGTCAGGCAAGGTGGATTAGGGGTGGGCAGTTCTCTTGATTCTCTCCTTGGCAAGGAGCTTGCGCTTCCTCTCTCAGTCCAAGTCTGTCAGCTTAGCAGGAACTTGGCCAGCTTTATTTTCTCCACTTGTAAACCTGAGAGAGTACTTTAATCTGACTTCCTTAAGAGATTCTTTCCATCTTTTCGCTTTTGCGTCTTCCGGTGACCCTGCCCACGGCGTCACCGTGGCCAGGCAGACGTGCAGCCAGCACACGCCCTCATGCTGCTGTCTGGTCTGCGTAAGTTCCGCACACCTTGTCCTGCTGGTGTCTTTCCTGTTGCTGACAGTCATGTTGAGGGCTCTTCTTCTCTTATATTTTACTTTTGTGAATACTTGCCCAAGAGCCAAAGTATTTTTTCATAAGAATTATTTGACGAACACATCGGAAGCAGGATTTATAAGTTAGGGCTCAGCTGATTTTAATTGTAAGTTGTTGCCACTTTCGTGGAGACGTACACACTGCTAAGCAGCCTCTTCCTGTGGGCCTCATGTTCACCCTCACTTGCACCTCATCAGAGGCACAGGTGCCAGGAAGCCCAGCACCAGGAGCAGTGCACTGGCTGGCCTCTGAGCCTTGGAGGTCAGCTGCAGACCTGCTTTAGATTTCATCACCAAGGCCAGACCTGCTGGCCCTTGGGGAGCTGGGGCGCACTGTCCACACATGCACAGACCAGATGCATGGTGTGGGCCCACCCAGAGCGCCTGCTCCCTGAAGCAAGGATGGGCAGGGTCCCATGGTGTTCTTGAGGCCATGCAGGGCCAGGTGCAGCCCAGGGCTGGGTCCCAAGCGCCCTTGCTGTGGAGCAAGGCTGGCCCAGTATGGAGCCCCTGAGGACCATTTCCCATCCCACCATCCATACAGAGTCCTGCCCCGTGCTTGCCGTCCTCCCTTAGGTGCTGGAGCCCATGATTAGCTGACAAGGTTTTCTTTTCTCCTTGAGTCAATTGTTTTCAGATGGCTAAAACCTGTTTTTCACGATTGTCCGTTTAAAAAGCTATTTCTTCTTTTAAAAGGACATTTGTATAGATGTGACCGCAGGGGGAGGTTGAGTTGTGTGCGCACAAGTCATAGGTGGGCAGTGGGAAGGTGGGAGAGCCCTCATCGCTGACCCTGCACTCAGACGCCCAGGTCTGCAAGAGCCAGGATCATTCATCAGGTGCCAGATGCATCTCTGAGTTCCCAGAAGGTAAACTGATTGCTCTTTCTTGCAGTTTCTCGGAGAACCTCAGAGCTACCCTTTAGGTAGTGATAATAGTATAGATAGATTTCATTTTCTTTATGTAATTTTGTTTCTTTCTTGACTTCAGGAAGCAATAAAATGCCAGGGCCTTGTTCTCCTACTCCTAGGCCTAGTCCAACTTTACTGTCTAGCTGCTGCCCTTTGCCTTGGGTGACCGTGGCTCCAGCCTTCTTCTGTACCACGGGAGAACATGTGAGCGGGACAGTGTCCTGCCCTCTGTCCACACCGCACAGCAGCTGGCGTGCTGCTTCTCAGTCCCTCCTCCAGTGCTGCGCTTGGGGCCATTTGTTGCATCTCCTGGCGCTTCATCTGAGGGTCAGGCTGCTGAGATTGCTTGATCTTCATCTTCTTTACTGTCCAAATTTGATAAGCAGGAAATTTCAGAAGTGCTTCCAAGTTCTTTATTCTTGTGACAAATGCAGCAAAATGCTCCATGAGTTTACATAGGAAAAAAAAGCTTTGAAGACGGGGGTTTGAATCCCACTCATTGTATAGGTGGGAAGATGCCTCCAGACAGCAGGCTGTCCTAAGCTGACGTTGTAGTTCAGGCTTTGTGTCTGTGGCTACGAGCAAGACCCTGTGAGACATTCTGTGTGAACGGTTTCAGCTGTAGGGCGCCTCAGGCTGTGTCGTGAGCTCTTTGTGTGAGGAGTATTTGAACATTTCTGGAGGGCTGTGTTCAGTTTTTCTTCTGGCATTTGGAGAGTACACATTGAGAATAGCAAACACAACAGAAAGCATTTTAAACCAAGTCCAGTTTGAGATGCTGAAGGAATTGAATCTATGCAGCTGGACGAAGAAAAATCTTTGGGTAGGAGAGGAGGGTTGGAGTCTTAAAGGATTTAAAGGAATACAGTATCATGTTCGTGGAGGGGAGCTGGCTTTCTAAGATTCAGCAGAAGATAAAAACAAGACAGAACCTGTTTAAATTGCAATGGGAGGAATTTTGTTTAAAGAAGAGAATAAATTACTTTGCTAAAATCATTACTATGTGGTAACAGTCTTTGTAGGTGTATCGTATTTTAAGGAGAAGAGGCTTATATTGTCTGTTGGTTGTTTTGTTGATTGGTTTTAAATTTCCTTTCTGTGTTTCTTGTCTGTAAAATGAGTACAAGGATAAGCAGGATTATTCTGATCATCATGGGGTAGGCTGCTGTATCATCCTGGGTGTCTCCGTTTACTGGACTGTCTATGGGGACCCAGAAGCCCCCCTGCTCCTGTTCAAAGCTTCATCCTCCACCCTGTGGCCACCAGGCAGGTGAGCCCAGAGTTCTGGAAACGTGGCCAGCACCAACACTAAAGGAGTACATTCGGGAGGTGTAGGCTTAAATAAAAAACACCATGCAATCAGAGTCAGCCTCTTCATTTCATATCTACTAGCGATTTAAAATTAGAAGTGCTGTTTGCATTCCATTTGTGTGGGACAGTGGTGAACAAGGTCGGGGTAAATTAGATCTTTTTCTTTTGCCAAGGACTAGGCAGCAAGGGCTGCAGTTCAGCTTGTTGCTGTGCTCCTCCACAGCTTGCTGCTGAAGCCTGGATGTAACTGTAGCTTGTGTCTGATCCCAGGGGCCCTGCTCCAGGACCACACTGCTTGCGCAGACAGGCAGTGCCAGAGTTGGTGCCACGTGGTGGTTGGCAGATAGTGTCCTCTGCAGACCCCTCTGCACTGGGAGACCCCAGGTACCAGGAGGAACTGGTGAAGGCCATACTTCTTTTTTTCCTCCATGCCTGAGATCTCAATGCAGCAATCTGTCCTAACAGCTTAGGCACTGGTTGGGTAGAACCCAAAAGACTCAACTCTGTTTTCTAGCAAACCAGGAACTGATATGTGTTTAGAAAAACTATCCTTTGCAAAGCAAGAGATATGCAAATTATGACCCCCCAACTGAACTGAGATTTTTTTAATAGAATTTTCATTAGCAATTCACTTATGTGCATCCTTTATATAAAACTGATCATCAGTGAAAAGTACATTTGTGTTTATGCATATTCTGGTTGAGATTCCTAGAATTATTGTTGCTTATTTCCCCCACACCTTTATCTGACCCTTGATCTGTTAGCTGCAATTGTATATAAGGGCTTATGAGAACTGGCTACATACTGCCCACAATTTGTGGCGCCTCACAAGGGTTCAGAGGAGCACCCTGCATGGCGTATTGCTCCTAGAGCACATGTCCTGTTCTGCCTTCCTAGGCAGGGTGTTACCACGTCAGCGCTATTGCTGGCTAACGCAGTCTCCTGAAGCCTTTGTCCCGCTGCTCCTGCAGCATGCAGATGGCAGCCGCTAGCCCACTGGCGCAGGGTGGGACCCGCCTCTCTCATGCAGATGGCAGCCGCTAGCCCACTGGCGCAGGGTGGGACCCGCCTCTCTCACACCGTATCCGAGGGAAACGTTGGCTCTCCGTATTTTGTGACAACACAGAGTAACTGAAATAAGACAGGCGAAGCTCCTAGCTAGTGCTATTGGACATTTCGCCCGCAGGTTTACGTGGACAATATTAAATCGCATTTCATAGTGACTGTTGCAGCTCGACTCAGTTTCAATTTATCAAAATCACTTCATTTAAAAAAGAGTGTAGGTGTTTGAAAGCAACTTTTTGCCTTCCACAAAGATAAATCCTCCATACAGAAAAAGTGTTCATTTTTTTGATCATTACTTAAGAGTTTTGATCTTTTAATGTGTAACAAAGAACCAGTGACTATTTTTCTAATGTGGGAAGCATTTTGCCTCAATTTCATGTAAGTTTCGGAGGAAACAGACTTATTAAACATGAAAGCAGTCAATGAAAATATAATGATTTCTCTCTGTGAGCATTGGATTAAAATGTTTGAGAATTCTGATCTCGTGCATTTCAACTTAAAACTTTAGGTCTGAAATGATAATGCCCTTCCTAGGAAGACAGAATAGAAAGATGTGTTCTAGGAGGAATACGTCAAGCAGGGTGCTCCTTTGAACCCTTGTGAGGCGCCACAAATTTTGGGCAGTATATAGCCAATTCTCATAAGCTCTTACATACAGTTGCTGCTCCTGAACTTTATGATCAAGGTAAATTTCTGAGCAAGAATAGTACAGATTGAGCCAAAGGGTATCCTTCACGAGGCAGTTGTAGGAAAGTACTAAGCATTACAGAGCTTCAGCTGCTGCAGTACTAAATACTGCTCTGTACTTACTACTTTCTTGAGTAACTGCTTCATGAGGAGTAACCCTCCTTCATGTAGATAACAATGAGACTGTCGTGGCCTCGGCTCAGTCCGAGGCGGCAGGAGTGGCTGGGCTGGGCTGGGGTGGGCCGCACCTCCAGCTGTCCCCACACACCAGCAAGGCCACTGTGAATTTCGTCTGAGGCCTTCACGGCCTGGCTGAGTGCACACACACCGGCCTGTGAATCCGCGCAGAAGGAGCGTCTGCCTGT